TATTTTTTTTAAGTTTTGTTTTAAAATGATCTCGGTTTTACTCATGTAGCTAATTGGTTTGTTTCTCTGCAGTTTTGTTTTTTGCAAAGGGAGGTTTTTTTGATATGATAATTTAAGGAAGATTAATTAAGGAAGAGTTTATAATTTAATCAGTGTTGCATCAGTGGACAAAAATTTGAAATTTCACACAAACTTCAAAATTCAGAAAAATGAGTATCGTATCTTGCTCGGTTATGAACAATTTTTATAGTTCAAAGATTAGCATTTGGAAATGTTTGAAAATGTGGATTATACTAAAATAACGCAGTTAATTCTTACTTGAGGATCATTTCAGTCATTTTATCCGGATACGTTTGTCTGTTTTTGTAAGTAAACTTTTCCTGTCGGTTTATATTTTTATTTTTGGTACTACGAGGTTCATTTTAATTAGTTTTGCCTCCTTGATAGCAGAATAAGATGTGAAATATTTTTTAACTGCGAAAATTCTTCAAAGGGTGTTTGTAGGATTGGTCTAGGAGATTTCCATTACTTCTGATTTCGTTACATTTTTTTAAGTTAAGCGGCATTCGCACAATCTTCTCTTAGTTCTTTTGGTAATAATTTCATTTTAAATCTCTTCGTCACATTTTTATCGTTTTTAGCGGTATGGGAAGGAAAAATTACTATTTGAAAATGGCAAAATTCTGAGAAATTTATGTTTCATTGAGCATCTTCTGTGGATGTTGGAATCAATCGTTGCCATATATTTTTATATGCGAGATTTTGTAGACTGTTTTCTTTGCCATTACTTTTCTCACGCTTAGTTCACGCAAGTTAGTAACTTGATTTTGTTGTTATTTAAAGTTGTAATTTTGAAAAATTGTTTGAATGGATCTGGGACTTTTGGATCGCCGAATTTTTTATTTTAGGTCACTTTTATGACATTGGACGGGGTTGTTTCTTTAATATTTTTTTTTCGTTTTTAATTAATCATCAGAAGCCTTCACAGGCTCTTTTAGTTTCAAATTAAACTATGTGCTCCTATTATTTATTTGAATGCAGACTTAAACATTTTCAGCTTTCTGAAAAATGTGTCACAAATAAAAATCTTTTTCTACTCTTGGAAATTTTTGAATCATAATTTAAAGTGTGAGTGATACTTTCAGCATTTTTTCAGAGGTTTTTTGGCTAAATCACATTTTTCTAAAGTATTCGTTTTTATTTCATCGTCACTTAGTTTTATTTCCACATTCATTTTTACTTTTGTTTGAGTTTTAGTGTCAAATAGTGCTGTTAATCGATCAAAGCGTTTTTCACACACCGCTTAAAAGCACACAAATATTTTCTTCTTAACGTTCTGCCTGAAGAAAATATTGTTTAAAGAAAAAATGTGTGTCGTACTTTGTTCGGTTATGAATAATTTTTAGTAAGCCTGTATTTTTGCCCATGTCAAAAAATAAAATATTGTATTTTTGATATCGTTTTAGTTTCCTTCCGGTGATTTTATCTGTGTCTCTTTATAATTTCAGGTTTAATTAGTGCTGGATAAATTTTTGAATGTTCCGCATGCAAACCCAAACGTTTTCAGTGGCTCTTGATGTCTTTTGTTCCCAGGGCCATTTTAATCGAACTACTCTTGTTGAGAGTGTTATCTTGGTTCGACATGGTTTAAGAACGACAAAATCCTATTTTTTGCGAAGGGATTTTTCTCCTATTTGGAGGCTGATGATTTTGTTTTCCGAGATGAGGTGTGTGTCGTACCCTGGCAGGTTGTGCATACTTTTGCTGCGATTAGGATTACAAAGTTTGTTTTGATTTTCGAAATATTGGAAGGTCCGAAATTTTTGAAGAATTTGATGTTTGGATTTCTAAAGTGGAAAATGTTTGTAAAAAGGAAAACGGCAACAAACATATTTCTAACTCTGTACCTGTTTTCCAGCTTTTTATCAAGTTGCGCCTGGACATTTGCTTTGTTGTAGTGTTCGTTTCAAACTGTAGTTCAGTAACTGTGTTGTAGCGGTCGTTCTTTAACAATTTTAATTAATCAATCGTTTGCTCAAACATTTTCAATCTTCTTTTCAGCTTTTCGAATTTTAGTTTTGCTCAAACAAACACGCTTTTGCGAATGGTTTGTGGGAAAACTATTTTATTTCTAAACCCTCCGATTTTTTCGGTAAAAGTTGACATGCGCTTTATAGAACAAGAATAACATATTAAAACGTTCTTTAATTTCTGCAAACCTTAAATAGATAAATGTGTGTCACATCCACTAGGATTATGAACTGATTATGAATGAAAACTATTAATTTGTAAATCCTTGAGGACATGTGAAAATAGCAGGTTTGAAACTGTGGATTTTTCATGTTTACAAGAAAATACCCAACATAATTTTCAGTTTTTTGAAGCTTTATTGATATAAACACAAAAGCGAATAGTTTCAAATTGTAACTGCGATCTAAATCTCGTGAAATTTATGCTCAGCAGGTGGGCAAGCGTAACGTAGAACCGATTCGGCGGTGGGTTAAGATTACATGTCGCCTTTCTATGGTGATTTAATGGGCCCCTAACCAGATGGGAATGAAGTCACGCGTGCCGTTTAAATGGAGGCTCCATATGGGATCCCGGCTTAATGGGCTTGATTACAAACGACAAATAACTATGTTTGTTTGCTCTCTCAATGCTAGAGACGTAGCCGAGTTGCATAGAGCGTTCAATTGAGGGAAAAAATGCTAATGTAACTTTCCCCTCTTTTGATCAGCTAATTGTCCTGGACGTCTTAAGCGGCCTCTTCATTACCGAAATCCACCAAGAATGCCAATGGGCTTTTTAATTTAAAATTAAATTACTCCCTGAACGAAGAATACAAAATGGTCTTTGTTCATATCATTGAAATTGATTCTTGCCTCTCGGTAAAGACTTAATTGTACCACTGTTTGATCCTAATCTGGTTAGCTATTCAGACGGTTTTCGTTTCTCGTTCTTTTTGCCGCTCTACTTTTTCATGTAAATTAAGCTATAGCTTCAGCATTCTAAAGCGATATTAAATCTTAATTAAGCCAACGACGGCAAGATAAAGAAAATTCTCTATTGCGGATATTCATTTGAATTAATCGAGTTTCTAAAGGTAGGGGAAAAAGGAAGGTTTAGAGCATTGTTTAAAATTTGTCATAAACACCTTTAAATTAATATTACCTCTAGGTGATTATTTTAAGTTAAAGCTCGCTAAATATTTATAAATGAAGATACGATTCGATCGAGTTCATGGAGCTCTTTCGTTATTTTTCTTTAGGAACCGACTGGAAAAGTTTTAATTGTCAATTTACATTTTTAAGATATCCGTTCGGGTGTTATTTAAGGTGTCTAAACTTCCGGCCGGCATCCAAGCCAAATTCTAATTTTATCTGCACCGGATCCTGCACCTGACTACATAAAACAGGAATAAGGAAACTTATTTAATTTCTTTTGTTTCACTCTTTCAGTTTTTTTGCCTGCTAGTTACTAATTAGAAAGGCATAAAAACGTGACTAGATTGCGAGTGGTGAAATGGAAAAATTGATTTTCTCGTTGTCTGGCTAGGAAATTACGTTTTTTTTTGTTAGTTTTAATTATAAAAGCTACAACGGGACGAATTAGCATTTCGATAAAACAATCCGCCGCTAAAAGTCCAAAAACAAATTTGCGGCACGCACAAAAAAGCAACGGTTGAAGTTAATTTCACAGTTAGTGAATAACGGCAATAAATGTATCAATTATTTGAAATGCTGCTGCCAAAAAATAAACAGGAAATGAACTCTCACAAAACTAGAACAACAATCGGAGTTTCGAGGCTTGGCAAAGGGTAAAACTCATTTGCCATTTACATTACAGATGATTAAAAAATAGCTGATATTAATTTCCGTTCGGGTTTATTTGGCAAATTCGCAAATGCTAATGGAAAACTGAATTTTTCAATGCTTGAGGATAAGTGAGTCGAGTTTGTGGAGGTTTCTTTTTGGTCTGTTTGAAATTAAGTAGTCATTTTCAAGTGAATTAAATTGATTTTTTTTCAAATTTTACGTTGTTTTTTTTATTGATTATTCGTTGTTCTTAGAGCAGATTGTTACGGGTAATTAAAATATGTTTTATATACTAAAATATTCATCATTGGCGCTGTACTTTCTTTAGCTTCCGGATTTCTCATTGCTAATGAAATGAAAAAGCTCAACAATTTTCATTAGTCGTGAAAAATCTTCTCCGGTTGTTTCTCAAATTTTACTTCCATTTTTGTCAAGTAAAATTATTCAGATGATATGTTGCAATTATATGCTGGTATTTGCTATAAAACTGTTATAAAGTATTTGTCCCTTGACGAGCGAAAAGCGAAATTTGGGCAAACGTTTTTGAATCTCTCAAAGGTAAAATTCAACACTGGTCCATTCCGTGTCGGATGGCTCTTTAATTCTTAAACGAATGCGTCGTTATTCTTTGAAACGGCCCATCTAAATATCGGACTAGACCAAATGAATGCTTTAATGCACCATAAGCTGCTAATAAAATGAATAATTCGCTCATAAAAATTAGCTATTCATAAGAAATGTTTTCAGCTTTACAGTGGTGTAATCTTTTAATCTGCCTTCGGGGATTCGGCAAATGTTCTCCGTGTCCGGAAGTTTATTAAATTTGAAATGAATTCAAAATAAGTTACTATAGAAAGGGCTGAAAATGCTAATTAACATTTTACTCCAATTGGTTTTTTTGGTGGAGCTCTTCCGGGTTTTCCGCGGGTATTTTCTTGGTTGTTAACATTTCTTCAGTTCGAGAGTAGCTGTTTGATAAATCGTTTCTTTGTGACTGGCTTAAATAAATAACGCCAGCATATTTCCTATTTCATGCAGTTTAGAATTTAATGCGGCAATATTTTTATCAGAATTCGCAAAAGTACCATAAAGATTTTTGATAGAGCTGCAGGAGGCCTTGTTTTAAAACACTATTACAGCGTTATGTGTTTATTACCATAGACTAACAGTTAGTTTCTGTTTCAGGTATGTAGCGGCCTATCTCAATTAGTGATCTCATATTGTGGTAAGTGTGTTGCATTTTTTAATTGCCCTGCACATATATTTTCATACCGAATTCGCTGGCAGTCGTTTTAAAAGAAAACTGCTCTAAGCTCGAAAAGTCGCTTGAATTGCCGCATTTATTGTTACGGTAAATCGTTAATATTGACGAGTAGTAAATTGAACGGCATTATGAACCCTTGCGGATATTTTATTGCAGAAACTCGACTTTAAAAGCCGTCTCCCTCTGATTTAGGGAAACTTTCCCGAAAGTTATCATGGGACATCTGTCGTTCCAAAGGAAAATAACTTGCAAATTGTCTGCTTTATTATGCAGATCCACTTAATTGCTTTCTGTATACTTCAGCTACTTAAAATTGAAAGTTTAACTGAAATCTTTTAGACACGTTTTATTACTAACAAGCAAAGTTTTTATCACTGTTCGCCCCAGACACTATTTATATCTCGATTTGTATATAAATGGGTCTTCGACGTAGGCGATCATGAATTATGGAGAGTCATTCGGGTAAAATTAGATCCTGGTTAGCCCAGTTCCAAACCCCCGTTAATTTCAGTCTAGTCAAGAAGAAATTCGATAAGGAGTAATTTATGATGGTTTTCGAGTAGTTTAAATTTGAGCGCCTGAAAAGGATAAACAACAATGCAAGTTTTCTTTCGTTGCGATCTTCCACAATGACCTAGTTGTAACAGCAAAACATTCAAACTTCTTACAATAGTCGATTTATGCACAGTTTTAACTAGTTTGTCATTGAATCACCGTGTTTGACGGTTTAGAGAGAATTTGCCCTACAAAAAGTCGATTGTCTAAACTGAAAATGTTTAGACGCTCTTCAAACAGAAACGTGAATATTACACATTGTGTTTTACGTCTGTAAGTGGATTGATTGGACAAAAATTATGGCAAAAGCTTTGCATGAGTTCACAATTATTTGCTCTTGTTGAAGGCAATGCAAGAGCTCTGATGAAAAGGTGCGACTTTCTGGTTTTTTCTTCTATATTTCCCATCTTGCTTGGAAAATGTAAATACGTTCATTGAAATGATGACGTGTCTCGGGATTTTTTTGTACAAATTCTTCATTGGCTTCTTACGAATTTATTTCAGTTAAAAGTATACGCATATTGAGGAGCTTCTGAGCTCGAAAGCTACGCAATAAGTGCAGAAACACACAGGTCAAAAATGCTTCAAAATCTTTCTCTAGACTTTTCTGGTCCGATATAGTTAGCAGAAAATGTTGTTCAACTTTTATCATCATTTTGAATCAAAGTTTAATAGTTGCTGTTTCCTAATCAACTTTACAACTCCCTGAGTCTATTTTGCACATTTATTTTTCGATTTTTTTTGGTTGATTTTTAAAGCAAATGAGTCCGGAATTAGCTGTAGCTTATACATTGAGTTGGATTATTTTAATTAAATGCTCAGTACTTTGATTCAGAACTTCTACCGCTCAATTTTTAGACCAATATTGCCTTTATTTAATTTTTCATATGAATTCTCCTTCAATCTGATTTTATGGCTTTGTTTGTAATTTGCCTCATCCATTTTCAAGCTTTCAAAATGTCTTTGTTTCAGGTTTATCGTTCAATTTTTTGTGTTCTTTTGGAGGCAACTTTTTTCTGCTCGTATCCCTCCGAACGCAGTCTGAACTGAAAATCTGTAGTTTTAAAATCGAAATGTATCGCCGATTTTGAGTTTTTTCGACTGTTAACCAACGATTCTGGGCTAAAACATCCTGCATTTGCACACTGGGGGCTTATTTATAGAAAATGGTGAATCTCGTTTGATTTTCTAATGATTATTAAGCGCTCCTGTAGAGGCAATAGAAATTAAATTTTCTATCAAATACTGAACCTGTTATCTTTTAACTAATTCGGCTTTTTGAAAAAATAAAGTTAGTTAAAAACATTAGACATTTTTTTTTTCAAAATCCCTAAGAAAGGTCAAAGTTCTTGACCAAAACGGCTCCCAATTTATTTTACTTCCGCTCGAAAACAAGAAGGGCCACTTTCTCCATTTGAAACCACTTAAAAAACCCGAGTACTCTTTCAATTTTCGTTGGGCTAATCTTGTCAAAAAAACATGTTAAAATCATTCAACATGAACCATAGAATGTTGTGATTTCGTCTAAACCTGATACTTACTTATTTCAAAATTACAGTCCATTTCCAGCAATTTTTGTAATTTTCAAGCAATTTGCGTCTCAACAAAGATCTTTGTAATCCGTAAGAAAGAGCTTTATAGATTTTTATCAGTATTTTTTTGGTTTATTATTTTAAGTCTTTTGAGGTTCATTTTTCAGGGCACTGAAATCCAATCTGAAAACGACTAGATATTCTGCTTTAGTTCACTTATTGCGTGAATTTATAAGCATATTTTCATGCAGATGCTTAATAATGAAATGTGACTTCAAATTCTGTTTTCTCCTGCTATCTTTCGGAGTACAATTTGAAATTAAAATAAATATGTTTAAAATCGATGAAAGTTTTTAATTTAATTTTTAGAATCCCTTTTAGTTAATGTCTTACAGTTGTTCTTTCTCGATCAAATTCAAAAGTGTGTCATTTTTTCAAGTTTTCTGTCCTTTTGAGCGTTTCCAGTTCCAGAATACTAATTCTTCAAATTATAAACCATTTTCATGAGAAAGAAGCAAAAAATTCGACTAATTCAATGGAAAATACGTATATATCCGAAATAATTATGGTCCGCTTTGATTTTTTGACATTTAACCAACGATTCTGAACTGAAACATTTTTCCCAAGAAAAAGAATTTTCCCACTGTGGACCTTTTTTAAGCACATAGCAAAACAAAACGCTCATCGTCTGATTCCTATAAATTGTTATTCGCTCTTGGGATAGACAACAGAAAATTCACCTCAGAAAGAAAATTTTGCCATCACATCGATTATCTAGAAGTATTTTCGTATTTAATAGTGATTGAAAGACACACTGCTGAGAAATGTATGTTTTTGTTAAAACAATGGGCAAATTCGCCTGAAAAGGCTCTAAGAAAGCTTCAATTTTTTACAAGTTTACGAACTGTGGTAATTTACAGGAATTGGATGAATCTTTTGCAAAAAATGGGCTGAATTCTCCAACATGAAACATTGTGATTTTCTCTAGACCCCTCTGATGCAAAATCGTCCCAAAATTACAACCCATTTCGCGAGATGTTTTTAGTTTTAGGCTTACATCTCAAAGATGATGTTTGTAAACCGTGTAAAAATATATACTCTTTTAAATATCATTTAAATTATTTTTTTTACCACTGAGTCCTATTTCAAAACCCCTAGATATTCTGCTTTAGCTCGATTTTATCGTGAATTTCTAAGCATCTCTTCAAGCAGATGCGTGAGCAAATAGTCAGTGAAACTCATTTGGTTTATTGAGAAATTAATGTTTCTGTTAGAGCAACGAAAAATTCGCCTGTAAAAAACCTCAACAAAAATTCTTGTGTCTGCAATCCAAGCTTCCGACTGGAGGACAAGAAGAGTCAGTTTCTCTATTAAAGAACTCGTAAACTCTTTCACTTTTCCTGGGATTAATCCTGTGCTCCATCCTCAAACATAAACCATGGAACGTATTTATTTTTACTTGACTTCTCGCCTCTTTTCATTGATGCTTTCGAAAATTTGGCGTCGCGCCGTCCCAATCCAAAGTTTCGGGCGCGCGCATCACGAGTGCTCTGGAGGCACGCGTCTCGACGCCGAGCGTCTCTTCCAGACGCCAGTCGCCGATTTTTCGCGTCCAAAACTGGTTGGTAAAACGCGACCGAGTCCCGGCCGGCAAAAACACGCAAACCCGGCATTATTTATCACAGTTTTGCCCTCCCAGAACGGTTCCTTTGCAGTAAACATTCTGTCGGCTTTTCACACTCAGTTCAAAGGTAAAACTCATTGAAACTGGCAATCAATCGGGGATTAGTATGACTGGAGTTTTTTACTTCCGGGAAATCACGATAAATTGTTTATGGGCTGTTAAAGCTGTTTGTTGTCTTGCTTCTTGTCTTCTTAACAACATTTATGTATTTTCATTTTTTCCTGCGTTTTTTGCAGTTGTATATTTCCACTAAATTCCCTCAAAATTTGCAGAGAAAATAACCCTATCTTCGAATTTATAAAACATCTCGTTGCTCATGCAGGGCGTTTAAGCTGTATTTTATGCTCTTCCTGAAATGTTTTTCTGAGCTTTAAACTCATTTAAAGTGTACAAAAACGCATCTGGTGTCCAAAAAAACCTGCTTAAATTACAAGAACTGGTGAACTAAATGCGTATATTATTTATTATTAATGTTCGCTTTGTTTGGTAAATACAGCGCTATCTTTACGAGCCACGAGCACGAAAATTGCGGAATGTGAACCGGCAAAGAGAATATGCATAGAAAAGCTTTTATAATATTTGTAATGCAAATACAATTCAGTTTCGGGTGTCGAGGGTGGTTTTAATTGCGATGAGGCTGTAAATTTGTCAAAGTCATTGGAAAAATATGATCTTCGTGTAAGGCGAGCTTTAAAAACAGTCGGGCACTTAAAAGCCCGAAACGGGGCAAACAAACTTTCCCTTCGGATTTATATGTCGCCGTAACGAAAACCCCAAAACTGTGGCTCTTAAAATAAATAATGTCAAGTCAAAGACCAGTTCGGGCTCGATTTTACAATTTCCTTTTGCAGGAAACGCGATATTTTTCGTAAACAGGATCTTTTAGATCAGAATTTACTTTACAACTGCCGGGTATAAGGTAAGCCAAAGACCGATCGGCATTTGCAGAAAGCGCTTTTGTTGCATTCGATTGGCCATTTTCACGATTTTATTTCAAAAACAACCCGTCGACCCGATTTGTATGTATCGGGACCGGCCCCCCTAAGTAGGTCACTGTCCTTAATGCGCTTTTCAACAACAAAATCCATGAAATTTGGCACATTTGCATATCAAACTGGCCAAGGAGAGCAATAAACCGAACAGAAAGGGCTTTAGGAAACGAACAAACATTCCCGGCCGATCTTATCGGGTTCTACAAACAATTTTATTCGCTCTCCTATTTTACACGAGTCGATTAAAACCACCAATAAACAAATCGCCCGCGTTTCCCCAGCTAATAACAATAAAAGGGACTTTTGTTTTTTGGGGAAAAACGTTTAACGGACTTTGTAGTTCGAGCGATCTTAAGATATGGAAAAAGGGGCCACATACAGTGAGCAAATTGACTTGTCTCTACAGGTTCTTTCTGCTGGTTGTTTATGCGATGGTTTTGCCTGTTTCGTTATGAATATTTTCAGGGTTATTGTTGGAGGTTTTAAAGGTTTTTTCAGATTGCTACCTAAACAACTGATATTATTTTTATTGAACTTCAAGAGGAGCAAATCTAAGGTTTAAAATCGCCATCCAGGCTGGAAAGTTAATGTGAAGACTCTTATGCCAGCAATTTCTCAATTATTTTTAATTTATCCAATACTTTGACAGTTTTATTTATTTATTTTCCCATTTTAGGTTCCAACCCAATAAGAATCTTCTTTCGTTTTTTTTTCGGGACTTTTTTCGATGATAGTTAATCTGTGCACCGGATAACAAATCTTGTTTGTTCTAGTCTTTTAATCATGACTAATATTAGAAATAACAGCTTTTTATTTTTTTTTATTTTAAAATTTTTGCTAGTACTTTTTTTGCCTTAAACGTTTCCCTACAAGTTTTGAAAATGCTGTCATAAGCCTTGAACAGATCTAAAAAAACCCAAAGGTAAGACAAGAATTTAAAAAAAAACTTTGATATTTAACGAGCCGCGTTTGGCAACAATTAGGATTTAAATGTCACTCTACATTGTAAGAGAAAGGCCTGAGAAAAATATATTTTCGTTAACATGAAAATTCCTGTATTTTTTCCAATCCTGGAAGTTGGAAGTGATTTTTGAGTCTTATGCGTGTTAAAATTGCTTCTTTATATCCCAAGAAAATGCAACTTACAGACTGTGCACCCAACAGGAGAATCACGTGAAAAATTGATGTCAAAAATACCAATTTTCTCACGTGATATCGAAGTGATTAAGAGACAATTATGACAATAGGTCACTGTAAAATGGCGACTTCAAAATGTATTTAGCAAAACTGTATTTTACTGTTAAAGTAACAAATTACATTTCGCCTCAAAAATTTTTGTCTTTAAAAAAGACAAAATTTCCTCACGTCTTTTATTACAGATTGATAAATAGTGCTCCTATTTCGCAATAAGA